TTGGAGCAACTGGATGAAATGACACAAGCTGCAGCCAAAATGGAGAACAAACTGGAGGTCAAGAAATTTACAGATTTGATGAATTATGACACTGAGACGGGTGATCACTACTTCCCTGGATTGTGGCATGGAAACCCCCCAATGGCACCAGTGAGTATTGGCTATAGTGAGTCTGTGTATGCTCTCAAAAAGCATATAATGGAGATCTTTAAATGTTACAAGCCCAGCACAATCAATGAATTTCTTAAATGGACCAAAGACTTGTGGACTGCTGTGAAATTTGAGAATTTCATCTTTAGCTTCAGAAATAGCCTGGTGGCTGATGCATACATGAAACTGTGCACAGAGTACAACAGATGGGACTGGACACTGAGAAAACAAATGCATACATGGACATTAGAAGCTGAAACGAATGTCTTAAACCATGGATAATTTGAAAACTCTGTGGAGTGCACTGTTGAAGATGTCCATTGTCATTTACTACAAGAGGCAGAATCTGAACTTTCAAAAGGACAAGACAAAATTATTGCCAAGATCCAATCATACTATGAACAAGGAGAAGGTCATGTTGAACTTGTGGAAAGTTATCGACAAGACTTTATAAACTCTGCCAAGTCTTTGAAGACAGAGCTTTCAAATTCAATCAGAATCAAATTGGATGCAGCTGTTTCACGTCGAAATGGAATGATGAAGGTCGAAGGAATCAAAAAGACATACATGGACACAATGGAGAAAAAAAGTGCTGGACTTGCTGAAAAACTGTCGTGAGAAAAAGGCACACATGTCAGACTCCACGCTGGATGAAGCATTTGAAAAGATGTGGCAGGAGACTGTTAGGACATTGTCATACACAGGGCTCCAGAAACAAGATATCATTACAAAAGTTCTTCATCATTTAAGAAAAAATCTCGAATCTAGAGGAAGTTCAGTGGCTAAAAGCTTAGACAAAGTGAAGGATTTTAACAGTCATGGCCATGGAAATGTTGTTGTCCACAAAGGTAACTTTATAACCAGCAAGTTTGTTTATGCTCAGTGGATCCAGACGGTTCAAGAGATGTCAGACAACCTTATAGATGAATGTCGGGATTTTGTTGAAGCAAAGAGGGAAAGTAAGGATGATTATGATGACACACACATCGGGGAAATTCTCAACATGATTGATGAGAAACTCAAGACTCATGAAGATCTTAAGCTAAAGGAAGATTTTGAACTGTCCCTTAAATTACACATATGTGGCTTTGCAAGCAGAGAATTTCAAAAGATTCACAATCAATTCATCCAGGAAAACAACCCACGAACAGCCTTGGAGAACGCCAAACAAACATACCACTCTGACTTCATTGACCTTTATCGTGAACGAGACCAGTGTCAGAAGAAAGCTGATGAATTCATGAGCAACTGTCTAAAACCTGCCTTGGAAAAATACATGTCTGAGGTCTTGGGCACAGAAATGGCAGATAAAATGGTGACTGGTGAAAACTCAGCAATTTTCGGAACAAGGACAACATTTCAGCAATTCATCTTGAAAAATATTCTTGATGAATTTGAATTTAAAACATATCGGCGTTTCATTAAGTCATATGAAACGTATGTCAAAGGCTTTATTTTTGATAAAATCAGAAAACACTTTACAGCAGAGAACAGAATGATCAAACTAGAGGAAAAGGTTCTCAATGAAGTCATCAGTGAAATTATCCAGGCCATTGAAGACACGGAGCAGGACCCAAAGAAAAATGACATCAAGGGATTCATCCAAGACATCTGCAGGAAACTTCAAAAAAGGCTTGTTATTCCCAGTGATGTAGTGGACAAAATCAGCACACTGAACAATGCAAATCCAAAAAAAAATTCTGAATTCCTTCTTTGTTCCGTGAAGGAGATGGATAAATCACTGAAAGCAAGTTTCCAAGCAAGAGATTTTCAAAGCAAAATACGTCATCTTCAAACCAAACCACAGGATGTGCTGTTCAAACGAGTGCAGGGCTGTGGGAAACAGTGTCCATTCTGTAAAGCACCATGTGAGGCTGGAGGAGAAGCCCACGCTAAACACTTTGTCTCGGTCCACAGACCAGAAGGTCTCAGCCGCTACAGATTTGATGATTCTAAAAAACTAGTGACAGACATCTGTACATCATCGGTGTACAGTGACTCATGCTTTAAGTGCCGTGACACCAATGATCAGTGGCATCCATATAAGAAATACAGCCAAATCTATCCAGACTGGCGAATTGATCCAGACCCAAACAAAGAACCATTAGATGTCTACTGGAAATACGTGATGGCACAATTCAATGAGAAGTTTGCTGAGGAGTACAATGCAAAGCCTGCAGATATATATTCATTATGGAAAAGTATCACAAAGGTCGATGCAGAGAAAAGCCTAAAAATAGAGAAATAGAGATTGCTCTTGCCATGTAATAAGAAACCATGAACAAGGATGAAAAAGTGTTTTTCTTTCAATAAAACTACTGTCGCAGTCTGGATTTAAATAAGCAAATACTTAAGATTTTAGAATTTAATCATTATTGCAGTGTTTAATATGTTTCTGGCATGTTGTATGTTTGGCAACAATTTTTTTAACCATAACTGATGCTGTGCATAGCTTTTTATTTCTCAAAAAAACATGTCTGAAGATGTACCCATGTCCATATTCCATGATGACACAAATGTCAAGATTCCATGTGAGTGGAACTTTAGCTTTGATAACATTGTTCTGGCATTGTTTCAACAATGTTATGCAACATTATAACATTTATTTCCATCAAGATTTGGATTAATTTTTGGCCGAGATCAAAATTTATTTATTTTTGGTTGCATATGGACATTTTCCACAATTTTTCAATTTTTTTTTACAGACTATATATTCATGAATACTTTTGTTCTCTTGATATCACTTAAATGGCCTGAATAATGTTATGTTGAATTTTGTTTTTGACATTTTATTTTATCAGTTAAGATTTTGTTCAAAATTGTGATGCTGTAAATCTTACTGTTTCATTTTCAGTCATATACTCTAACTGTTTGGTGTTTTTCTGAGCTATGTTTGTGATTGTGAGTTTCACTTTGGTTTGTGGTGTGTAATGTGACTATTTTGAGAGGACCTACAAGTATATGGGCATGTCTGCATGAATCAGGTCACTGACAACAGGTTACTGTTACTGATATTCTCTGTCTTGCATTTACAATCATCTAATGATTTAAAACATATTAAAAAGCATGGGCATATCAATATTTTACACATATTTACACACATTTACTCCAATTAAGCCATCTAAAGGGAGTTTGAATGTCTTCTGTAGTATCCTGCAACTCCTTCCTGAACGTAGAAGCTGTTATTCCAGGTGCAGCACATGTGAGCTGCCCTTAGTGTAGCTACAGTAATCTCTATCAATACCTTCCTTTTTCTTATTTTGGACTGAGTTTCCCAAAATTTAAATGATTTAGATGTTTGAAGATATCTGTAATATCCTACAATATTACATCCAAAGGTCCATGAACATTTAATTTTTTCAGCATTTCATGGAGTCTTCAAAACTGCCCAGTCAATATTTTATTTTAATTAAAGTGGCAGACATGTAGTGACAAATAACACATGCATTCATCAAAAATGTTAAATATTTCAAACAAATTCAACATGATACTATAACTCCTAACTAAATTCTGAACTTAAATTCTGAACTTCTGTCTAACAAAATACAATAATTTCTACAACAAAACAGAATAAAAAGTAGCTGATGATACACCATCCATCTCGTTTCCAAGTCAACGTTTAATGATCATTGATGACTCAATAAACAACCATATGATTTAGACAATGCTGTCTCATTTCCTCAATGTCTGTTCTCCCCTTGGGTATATACTCTTTCCTCTTGCCATGGTTTATACTTACTTGTGTTGGCTTACCACCTTTGCCTTCTTTCATCTATAATACCTGTTCTCATCATTATGTGTGTCCCAGTTAGGTGTTACCTGTCCACTTACCTGTCAACAATAAAGTCCCCTTTCCCCTCAATAACATCTTCTCTTTGATGACTGTGTATTTGTAATGTGTGGGATCCATGTGCAGCTATATTAGTTGTAAAAGATGGTATAAACAGGCAAGGGTCAATCTCCGGCAACAGGTAAATCCAAGGCAATACAGGGCTGAAGTCACAAGGCAAAACAAAACTTTGCAATGAGTGTGGTGCTTAAATAGTCCAGGGAATAGAGTGAGACGTGAAAGACCCTCTGCCTTAGAAAGTAAAGTTCTGCCCTTGAGAGACAAATCTCTGTTACCAGAGATTTAATTTCTTTTCGTTTTTTTCTTCCATAAGCGGGGAAAAGTTATCTACACATCTACTCTTCAGGGAATGTATAGACCAATTTGGGGTTTGCAAACAATGATGACGTTTTTGTGGGCGGAGCCTATCTGGTGGCAGAAAGGGACAGTTTTAAAGTAGCAATCTATGGAAACCATGGAATAAAATAATTTTAAAAAATGTAATATTCAGTTTGTATTTCAAAATTCTGACTTTTTTCTCGCAATTCCGAGATTATATTTCACAATTCTGATAAGAAGAATCAACTCGTCATTCTCTCTTTTCCCCTTGGCTCAGAATCATGAGTTTATATCGCACACTTTTGGCTTTTTTCCCCTCAGTATTGACAAACTTTCAATTGTTCAATTAAATTTAAAAAGTTATAAATCCGAACTAGAAGATATAAACTTGCATTTGCGAGAAAAAAAGTCCTAATTGTGAGATAAAATAGCCTAGGTAAATGTTATTATAGGTTTAAATAGTAGCCTAGTCTATTTCATGCTGTACACTCTTAAAAATAAAGGTGCTTAAAAGGTTCTTCACAGCGATGCTATAGAAGAACCATTTTTGGTTCCACGAAGAACCATTCAGTCAAAGGTTCTTTAAAGAACCATCTCTTTCTTACCTTTTTATAATCTGAAGAACCTTCTTTCACCACAAAGAACCTTTTGTGAAACAGAAAGGTTCTTCAGATGTTAAAGGTTCTTTATGGAACCATTTAGACAAAAAGGTTATTCTTTGGCATCGTGAAACACCTTTATTTTTAAAAGTGTAACTGTAGGGCTAATACAATATGTCCCCAATGAACTGCATATGTGAATATTATGTAGACCTATAGTTTAAATCAAATTTATGCTTTAAAAGTATGGTAATCATAGCAGGTTTCATCCACAGTCTGTCCGTTTAAACGTCTGCGTTTAGCTTCAAATGGCGTCTTTGAGGACAGTATTCTATAAAAATTATTTGCATTCCGATTCTGACATCCAAAGGCACAACAATAATTATTTCTTTTTTTTGGTCTTATTTCATTTTACCCGTTTCCCTCCACTTGTTCCCAGTGTTTTTCTGCCACCACAATGATTCCGCAGATGCAGCAAGGTGCTGCAAAACCACAGCCATGTTTGCCAGTAAGGGAGGAGGTCGGTCAGAATTACATTTACATGACATTTACATAATCATTTGGCAGATGGACGCTTTCATCCAAAGCAACTTACAATAGATAAAATCAAACCAACAACGAGCAACAGTATGTAAGTGCTGTGCTGTGACAAGTCTCGTTTAGTCTAACGCAGTACATGTAGCATGTTTATTTTTTAATAATAAATAAGAATAAAAAGTAGATAGAATATAGTGCTAGTGTTAGTGGGTCATGGTTTTTATATAATAAATAAAAGAACTCAAGTAGATAGCATAGAAGTAGAATAGAGAGTGTAAGTGTTAGAGGATCAAGATTTTTTTTTAAATAAATATAAATTAATTACCTACACACACGCATCTACAGCATGGCTAGCTATTGCCTAATAAGTCCACTTTGTGCAAACTAATGGTGTTCAGAAAATATGTTTTAAAATATAACAAAAGAAGTTTTAAAAGAGCATGTTGCAACATCTTAGAAATGACACTGTTTTAGAGATGGGGATACAGTATTTTCTAGTGCCAAATTTGACCAGACATTTAGATTTCTTAGAGATATTTTAGAGACTTTTGGGTGTTAGTGTACCAAAAACTAGCCTACAAGGTTTTTTTTTTTAACCATGTTCAAGGTTTGCCAAGCCTGACCGTGCACTTTACACAGATCTGGTCATCACTATGGAAAAAATTGAAAAAGATGTGACCATGAAACATGTCATCCGAAACAAGGTCCAAGGGTTCAAGGCTGCTCTCATAAAGTATTGACCATACTGTGTCCATACTGACAGCTGAGATTTTATAAATCAAAACTTTTTGCAAACTAATTGTAGCTACACTGTAAAAAGTGAACATGCGCAGTTGTTGCTTTATGTTCATAGGGGACATAATTCTACCTATAAATTTTAGTTTTGTTGTTGTAACCTACTTAAATCAGGTTTATGTTACACAAAACAGAAGAACACTGTTTTAACTTAAGTACTTTAAATTGACACAACATACAACTTCCAATGAACACATTCGAAACATGCACACCTGTTCCATGTTGATTGGTGAATTTTGCTTCAATGAAAAATTGTGATTTGGGGTTATTATACACTTTATGTTGCAGCAAAGTGAAACTCCAACTGACAGTGATACTCTTCAGCACAATGGTAACCACAACATTCAATAAGAGAAACTCCTCTAAATGTCTAACATAACTGAACATAAAATTAACACAAACTACCAACATCTTTCTCTTTAATAATAAACACATAAAATAACAATTAATCCCTATAAATGTACTCTCCTAATGCAGTCCCTCGCAAAACATGCTGGGAACTACAGGTCCACAGCCCGAGGCAGCATTTCCCAAAAGCATCGTGAGCTAAGTTGGAGACCATTGATGGCCAGTGGTGGACAGTAACGGAGTAGTTTTACTTCGTTACTGTACTTAAGTAAATTTTTCAAGTATCTGTACATTACTGGAGTCCTTTTATTTTGAGTAACTTTTACTTTTACTCACTACATTCCAAAGCATAAGATCCTACTTTTTACTTCACTACATTTCATAAAACATATCGATCTTGTTGTGAGCGTCTGATGCTGCTAAAAGTAAGTTACTAATGTCGAATTTTAGTATTAATTATTGTAACTGAAAATCATATTTAGGTCAAAGTTGTCAGTTGTTTGTGAACTAAATCTGCTGTAAAGGGTGATCTATTTAAGCCCACTGAAATGATTGAATGCAGACATATTAACATCTGTCTCTCTATTTTAGGTAAAAACGAAACATTAAAATAACACAGACTAAATAAAATGATTAATGCACGTTCATATTCCCCGCTGCCGTAACGTTAACAGTTTTATTAAAATAAGTTTTTAGCCCTATCTGACGTCTGTTTTTATATTGTTTATCAACAAGTTAAAGCATTCGTAGAACACATTATGAAAAAGTGTTGGCCTCGACTTTATAAGCACTCCAGATGCA